CCATTTGGGGTTTGTGGCTGCGCACTCGCGCCGGCCCCGCTGCGGCCCATCTACACGGCCACGGCCACCCCACCACTGATGGGACTGCAGCACCAGCAGGCTCCCCGCACGACGTCCGCCGCACCACGGCCACGGCCACCTATCCACCCCTGCGGACCGGGGCCTGCTGTTATCGTTGCTGGGCCGCTTAACGGCGGTCTTCAGCCGGGAGAGGGAGGGGTACATGTGCATGTGCATGATTCATCCAGCCAGCAGCCCACCAGCCACCACCACGAGGCTGCTCCAGCTATGCCGCCCACTAGAGAGGAGGACCACCATGGGCAGGCCAGCAAGACAGAGGAGGGAGAGAGAGAGGAGAAGGCCAACACAGCCGCCCCCATGCCACCAGCAGCACCAGAGCTCCCCGAGCTGAGTAGCCAGCACCAGCAGCAGAGTGGAGAGGGCGACGAGCCGGCCAGTAGAGAGGAGGAGACGACGGCCAGCACGAGAGAGGAGGAGAAGAAGGACGAGAGGGAGGAGGAGAAGGACGAGAGGGAGGAGAAGGACAAGAGGGAGGATGCTGACGTAGCTGTTGCTGTTGACGAGAGTGTCCCCCGGCCAGCCGAGGAGGCACCACATGATAGTCTGCATGAGGAGGGCGTGTCTGCTGCGCCCGACTGTGACCAGGAGATGTCTAGCGGGTGAGGCCACACGCAGAGAGTGACACGTTGACCACACGACGCATCTCATCTGTTCTGTCTGTGCGTTTGTTGTTTCCCTTCATCCTCAGATTGTCGATTGCTGATGTGATTAACGAAGCCGCCCAGCCCACACCAGCCGCTGCACCTTCAGCACCTCAATCTCCCTCTCCCGCCCCCCACTACACACTGGTGCACAGCGGCCAGGCTGCGGACTGCCTACACCAGCGCGACTCAATCTCGTTTGCACACATCCAGGAAGGCAGCCGCAGCCTCTTGTGCGTCCGCAAGACCACCGCCACAATCAGACAGCGCACCGAGCCGCCCCAGCTCTACCTACTCTCCCACCACCATGCCACCCGCACCAGACGCCCCACCGACCAGCTCCCTGACGCCGACCCATCGGCCGCCAACGGCAAGGGGATTATCCCCCCCATCCTGTGGCCGGTCGTCAAGGAGGCGCTCGGGGGCGAGTACGGGCGTGTGCAGGGTCTCTTCCGCAAGGGAGGGCCCGCATACTGCCTGTACTTGACCTCCAGCGAGGGGCGGCAAGGGGGCCATGCCGCTGGCGGACAACTGGCTGTCATCGATGCCATCGACCCCCCCACCAGGCATCAGCGACAGGGCGGCTTCGTGTGTCTTCGTGTGCTCGCCTTCCCGCCTGGTGCCGCCTCAGTGCTGCCCCTGCTGGCGGCCAGGAAAGTGACCCACATCGACGGCAAGGAGGTGGGCACCATGGCGGGAATAGAGATGGCGAGCGGCAGCGAGATCGACAAGATCATGCGGGAGGAGCTGGGGCTGGATGAGGAGGAGAGGCAGCTGGCGAGGGTGCTAGGCACCATCGACCTGCTGGACAAAGCCATTCATGGGATGCATAATGTGAGCGGGGGCACATGACACTGACAGGAGAGGGGCAGATCAGACCACACGACGTGTGCACATGTGTCACCTTCTTTCTCTGGCTGATTGGTGTGTGTCTTGGTGTTCAGGTAGCCATTTTTTCTGTTGAGGAGGCGCAGAGGCGCGTCGAGGAGGCCGTGGCTGCTGCCGTTGCTGCCGGTATGTCGCCCGCGGACGCCATCAGCCCCGTGCAGCTGGCCGAGGAGCTTCCGCGCCCCTCGACCTTCGTGTCGACCGACGACGAGTCGTCGAACATCCTTGTTGGTTTCCAGCATGTGGTGTTTGACCTCGTCGGCGGCGGCCAGCGCACGCGCAAGCTGGTGGTGGCCGTGCCCACCCGCATCGATGCGGCCGGCAAGGAGAGGGGCAACATTGTCACGGGCGGCTGCAAGCCCTCTGCCTCGCCCATGGAGCAGGCCGTCCTCAACGACCTGTCCCATGCCCGCCGGGAGAGGGGCGGAGCCGCCTACAACCCCCAGACCGCCTACGTCGACCAGCTGTCGCCCCCCGGCCAGGCTCCTCCGTCTGTGGGGCAGTGGGCGCAGCGCAACCTCGACTACCCCGGGTGGCAGCCATCGGACGACTACTGGAGCATGGGAGCCACAGCGCTCTCCATGCTCTCTGTGTCGTCCGGCTGCACCGCCCACGACCTCAAGCCGCCATTCTTCATCATGAAAGACGTTATGGAGGCGTATCAGAAGGACGGGGACGAGAAAGGCGGCGAGTGGACACCCGGCAAGTGGCACATGCGCGCCATGGACCTCGCCGGCCTCGTCGCCGATGAGGACAGGGCGGCACAGCGGCAGATCGAGGACGCCATCGGAGGGGGGCAAGGAGAGGATGAGGAGGAGGAAGAGGACGAGCCTGACGCGGGTGAGGAGGTTGGAGAGGGGCAAGGGGAGGGCGAGGAGGAGGGGGAGGAAGACGTCGAGCCTCGCCCGGACGAGTTGGTGGAGTCTGCTGTCAACCGCAACCTCTCGCGGTTCCACCAGGTCACCGACGACGTCCGGAAGGCCGTCTTTGGCCAGCTTCGCGCGGCACCAAGCCCCACCAGCGACACGCAACAGCCATCGGCCAACCTGCAGCCCACCCCCGCCGAGAGGGCCGCCGTCGAGGCGCTCCACCGCAAGCAGGGCGACCGTCTCACGCTCGACATCGCCGCCAAGACCATCCTAGCAGAGACTATCATGAGCGTCAACCCATACGAGCGTACGGTGGCGATGGCGGAGCGGGCGGTGCGGATGCTGGTGTTGCTGGTGGAGCTGTGGGCTGGCGTGGTGTATCCCGTTCATGATGGCCTGCCGTGACTGACGAGTGTCTGGGCTGGAGGGGGTGCTGTGCGTGTGTGTGTGTGTGTACAGTATGTGTGTGTATTTTTCTGTCCCCCCGACTGACTGAGTGTGGCTGGCATGGATACTCACGGTGGATCGATGGATGGATTTTTCTCGAGTATGTAATGGCGTACAGGACACTGACTGTGTGCGGTTCTTTTCTGTGGCCCGACGGACGGCTGCTGACTGAGAGCCGATCGGTCTGCACACACACACCCACGACACACACGACACACACCTGGCTGCCCACTTACCTGTACAGTACCTGTGCATGTTGATTGTGTTGTTGGCTGGCCTGCTGATCGATCAGTCCACCTTACACTGATGACTGACTTGCAGAGAGACAGACAGCACTCACTCACTGAC